AAATTTAAGAGGTCAAAAAAGAAAAAAAAAAAAAAAAAAAAAAAAGGAAAAAAATCACCTAAAAATGGGAATTAAAAAAAAAAAAGAGGCTATCCTAGGTAGATAGATAATATGGGCCAAAATATCTGAGTGGAGTAGACTGAATGAGTTGTATGCTGGCAAGCCTGTGCTACTCTAGGAACTTATCACTGTTACTCCTTAACTCTGTCTTACTTCTTCCATTCCCTTTCTGGAGTTTCTCAATCCACTAGCTTTGTTTTAAAATTATATTTGGGCAGGAATAATATATTAGGTCATGGTTGTGTAGTACTTTGGTCAATATTCCAAAAGAATGCTATAATACAAATTTTATTATGGAAACAAGCTACCAAATGAAAGACTTCTGTCTTGTGTTTTAAATATGTTTTAGATTGTGCTTAGCAAAAGCTGCTGCTTTTATGGTGTGCAAAAGCTGAATTTTTTTAGGAGTCATGGATGTTTTCTGTTAAATTACTCATTAATATAATGCCAAAAAGAAAGAAAAATAATATCAACTGCAAAAAAAACAGAAATTACAAAAATGTGAGAATGTCTGCAGTTACATTGTTGAACAAACTAGGACAGAATCAGAAAGCTACACAAGACCTTGCAGTGCTACACAGCAATTACATTAGGATGAGAGGAACCTCATATGGTTCAAAAAGGGCAAGTGCAGGGTCCTGCACCTGGGGAGGAGTAACCCCAGGCACCAGGACAGACTAGGGCTTGACCTGCTGGAAAGCAGCTCTGCGGGGAGGGATTTGGGAGTCCTGGTTGACAACAGGTTAACCATGAGGCAGCAATGTGCTCTCCTGGTCAAGAAGGCCAATGGGCTCCTGAGTGCATCAGGAGGAGCGTTGCCAGCAGGTCGAGGGAGGGGATCCTGCTCCTCTGCTCAGCTCTGGGGAGGCTGCACCTGGAGTATTGGGTGCAGTTCTGGGCTCCCCAGGACAAGAGGGACGTGGAGCTTCTAGAGAGGGTCCAGCCCATGAAGATGATTAAGGGACTGGAGCATCTATCATATGAGGAAAGACTAAGCGAGCAGGGCCTGTTTAGCCTAGAGAAGAGAAGATTGAGAGGGGATCTGATCAACATGTCCAAGTACCTGAGAGGAGGATGTAAAGAGGATGGTGCCAAACTCTTCTCGGTGGTGGCCAGTGACAGGACAAGGGGAAATGGGTACAAGTTGAAACCCAGGAAGCTCCATCTCCATGTGAGGAAGAACTTCTTTCCTGTGAGGGCGCCAGAGCCCTGGAACAGGCTGTCCAGAGAGGTTGTGGAGTCTCCTGCTCTGGAGATCTTCCAAACCCTCCTGGATGCCACCCTGTGCCCCGTGCTCTAGGTGTCCCTGCTGGAGCAGGGAGGTTGGACTAGATGATCTCTAGAGGTCCCTTCTGACCTCAACCATTCCGTGATTCTGTGATTTTGTGAAACCACACAGTGAATCAAGCCAGTAGGCATCCTTCCTCTTTGTTCTGTATCTAATAGTAGCTAGGGAAGTGAAAAGCTCCTAGTTTTGAGAGTTATGATAGAATGTGCCTATAGGAAATTATCTTTGGCTTATATCTTAGCCAGTGAGGCTTAATGTTCTGTGTATGTTTTTAACTCTAATTGTAACTGATATAATGAATTTTTAACCATTTATTTTTTAACAGCCACATTTAGCAGCAGATAATCTGGATAAGATTCATGATGAATATGACAACAATCTGCTGCACGTAGCAGCATTGCAGGGACATGCAGAATGCCTGCAGTATCTCGCTTCCCTGATGGGAGAAGACTGTTTGAATGAACGAAACATTGAACAATTAACTCCAGCTGGATTAGCAATAAAGGTGACAGTCTCTCTGTCCTGATGTGACATAAAGGTGATTTAATCTATTTCTATAATGGCTGTAAGTAATACATCCATCAGAATGCTATTTTTCAAGCATTTTGTTAAATTAGAGCAGAAAGAACTTTTCTGCAATTGACTGGTACCACATAAGCAAATAAAAATACCTCACTATGCAAGATACAGTGCCTGTTGTAAACCTTTGGCACTTCATATGTTGTTGTCAGTGCATATACATTCACTTTTAAATCAGTTGACTGGCTCCAAAAATACTTGTTATATTTCAAGGAACTTATATTTAAATCAGACATTATTTAGTATAATGGTTTCTTTTTTTAATTTGTTTGTTTATTAGTTTGATTTTTTGTTTGTTTTTTTTAAATGCATATATAACTTTGAAAGACAAGTGTAAGAATGTATTTGCAAAGCCTGATAACATTCTGACTGCTTCTAACATTTTTTGTGCCACATCTGAAGGTGAAACTTCTTGGGAGTCTAGAGCAATTGCATCTACAGCAATTGCATCAAAGTTATACTGTACGTCTTGCAGAACAACCTGTCCTAAACTGCAAAAATTAACACCCCAAATTGCAGGAAAACCTATTGTGTAGGAAATGGGGGAATGTACAGTGTTGCTGTGCTACAATATAGTGGTGTACCAGAAATCTGAGATTTTAACCAAACTAATTCTGGGTCTTCAGCAAGTAAGATTGAATGGTTGAATGCTATCCCTCAGCAAGAAACAGAAACAGGCCTTTCGGTTTCTTCAGGGTCTTTAATTGTAATTTTCTTTAAGTGTTATTTTTTTCCTGGAACAGGAAGGAAGGACAGTGAAGACTTTAGTGTGTAGGGAGAGAGTGTGGAAGAAGTGTTTGTGGAAGAATTGTTTGAAAGCAGGAACTGAGAGGAAAACTAGGGCCTAACAGAAGTTTTGGCATTACAGAGGCCTGCTTGGAGTGCTACACAGTTGCCACTTCCAGGATGGTTGGTTTGCACGGACTCTGCTCCTCCACGGTTCCCTGGGCAACGCAATCTGCCCTCCTTGCAGCTCCAAAGGGGAGTAACGGAGGATGGAGAGGGGTGAAGAGATGGCGGCCAAACTCTGTTGCACTCCCTGTGCTGGGCTGCTGATAAGCCGCACAGTGGCTGTCTAATGGGAGATATACGATAACAAGTCCGGTGCTGAGCCAGCAAAGGTGGCAAATCATTCCTTTCAGATGAACTTTGCTCATTATAATGTGAAAACCACACCTCCATCCCAAAAGTTACTTGCCTCTGAGGTACGACCATCCCTCACTGAGCATGCGCTCTAGATTTTCCATTGACTGTACCTTTAAATGAAAGCGAGAAACTTTTTCACCAATCAATAACAATATTAAGTATGACTCTAGTCACTCAAGCTCCACCTGAATGTAAAGAAAAGTATAAAAGGTGAACTAAGGATGAAAAGGTGGGGGGACTAAGAAGTGAGAGGGAAGAATCCATCATAAATCCTGGATCAGTTGATGCGCTGATCCCCTTTTCCTCCCCTTGCGTCAGGATGCCACCTGAGGAGACTCGAGACTGAGAGCCCTCTCCCATCTTCTGAGGTGAGTGATGATTGCACATTTGTCCATCAGAGCTAGCTAAAACCCCACGCTCTAGTAGAGAATTTCCTGTACTGACATCTGAAACCTGCTTTGTAAATGTTGCATTTGAACAGCTGATCACACTATTTGGGAACTCGATTCGCTCCTAGGAAGGCGATCGGACCTACAGTCCACGAACTGTTCGTGAATCCGATACTGCCAGAGTCGAGTTTATAGTTGATCACACTATTTGGGAACTTGATTCGCTCCTAGGAAGGCGATCAGACCTATAGTCCACAGGCTGTGAATCCGATACTGATTTGATATCTCCTTCTACCCCCCCCACCACCACTACCACTACGACTTTCAAACTGCAACATTTCACAGGAGTAGAACAGTTTTCTGAAGAAACCTTCTCAACTGTCAAAATATGTTACAGTGTACATATTCCTATTACATCTTTTCTTAAGGCAATTGAAGTATTTCTGCCTATTTCCTTGAAAGATGCAGTCAGTTAGGCCCATACTATTCTAAATCTGATAAAATTAAGAGGGATTGAAAGCAAGAATTAATAATAGGAAATATGGGACAGATTTAGTAACAGGTGATGCTACCACTGTTCCTATAGTACATTTAACTTTCCATTATTTCTTACTTTTTGTGACTTTTCTTTCTCCCTCCCCCTAGTAGAAAATCCTTCTGTGGCTTCTTCAGTTTATGCAAGAACAAGGTATTTCATTGGATGAAGTTGACCATAATGGTAATACTGCTGTTCACGTAGCTGCTCAGCATGGCTATCTAGGATGCATACAGGTAGAGTATTATTAAGGTAGAATACCTTAAAATTTGCCAGAAGAAAATTTTTTAAATCAGTAGAACTCAGACTGAAACACCAAAAAGCTCTATATCTTGAATTCTATTCTCAGTTATGCTGTTGTAAATCTAAAGTAATCTTTGCATTGCAAGAAGAAAGCATCATTATGTTGTTCATACATAAGCAGCCAATGAGTTTGTTTTTATATTAAGAATGGGCAGCCAGAGTAGATAAGCGTGCCTTGATATCAACCTTCTTACTATTCTGAATTTGCAGCTCTCCAGCTTAAGGGAAATTTAAGTTATGGTTTATTCCATATTAAAATTTCCACTTAGAGCAAGCCATCCTTATCCTCTGAATATATCTGTACTAAACAATATGATGATTTCTGATAGTTCTCAATGAATGACCTTGACCACCTCAAAATAGTTGTGTTTGTTGTACAGAGCTGCTGAAATGGTTAATTTGCCCTGCTGAAAAGGCTAACAAAGCTACAGTGCTTTTAGGAGTTGGGTCTGAAAAACCTAGTTTGGATGCCTCTATATCATACCAGTGTTCAATGTAGACATACCAAAAAAGCTGCATAGTTGAACTGGATGACTAGGTCAAGCATCTCTACTTTGCACTGAATCATACAATACAGATGTACCCATTGTTCATGAGAGTCACTAGAATCATTACTCGCAGGAATACTTTTCAATATTTGTTGTTGTCATCACTTTGATTGAAAAGTGTTTGGAGAAAAAATAATAATAAAATTAACTTAAGTAAGTGATTGAAGAAAAATACTTGAGAAACAAAATAGTCACCAGAGAAGAACAGAGTAGATAACAACATGGCAGAAAACCAAGAAACAGAATTCAAGGTAGGATTAACTCAAGAGGGGAAAGAAAACATGTCCAAGAAGCAGTAGTAATTCTGAGAATCTGAGACATCAGCTATATACAGAAACTCTGAAAGCTTGGAAAAACATTTTAAATGTATTGCTGAACATGAGCTGATAGATGGCAACTCTTAGAGCATAGTAAATACAGGTAATATATGTTCTAGTTCAATCTTAAAAGAAATACAGCATCCAAGTCTAGCTAATTAACCTCTTTAGAGAGCTAAAAATATTTATGCATGCTGTTACATTGAATCTACTGCATCCACAGATGCTTATTACTATAGCAATTTATTTATATGCCTGGATACACAGAGAAGACCTAACTATATGAAAAGTATTTTGGGAGTCTCACAGAATAAAAAAAAAAAAAAAAGAAAAATATGTGATAGCTGAGCCGAAGGAGTAGACTTAGAAGAAAACAGCTGCATGGGTTTGGAGGACATGGCCATCTCCACATTTTTCTCAACTGATGGGACATCTTTCTTTTAAAGATATGAGGAATTTCGGAAATCCTGTACAAACTCTTATGAGAATCAGAGTAAACAAATTAGCACATTTGTGCTAAAGCTAGTGTCTTTATTGTTATTTTCCAGATAATTACTATGATCAGTTGGAAAAAAAAAATGGATGGAAGAAGTAGTTGAGAGCACTGTTGTGGTAGATCTGTGTTTAGGGCTACTCATTTTTACAGTTTCTTCAATATACACAATGGATTTGAAGAAGAAATGAGTAAATTATTTTGAACAGAGTGGTGACATCTGCAGGCTATTCTCATGGATAAAGCTAAATCAGAAAGAGGATAACCCTGCTTTCCCAGTGACAAATGAACTTTAGTAAATGACCTAGAATTTGTAAAACTGATTTTTTTATAGATCAATTTGAAAATCAGCAACAGGTGTTTTGTGTTGGTGAGGCAAAGCCATAGGAAATAAATCATGAAAATATCTTCTATTCATAGTAAAAAAATATATAGCTAGTGTATGTCACTTTAACACTTCAGGGTGCTAAGTACATCTGATACTCTGTTGTTCTATGAAACGAAATAACCCCATTGTCCAGTGAGTTTAACAGTCTAACTTAAAACAAGGCACAGTGAACAATTGGTAAAAAGGAAGAAGTGATAAAGAAGGAAGAACGTAGGCAGCAATACAGAAGATGCAGTATCGTACACTTTCAGTGATCCCTCAACCCTCTTGTTCACTCTTCTTGTGAGCAAGTGATGTTCTTGTCTTGTTCCAAATTATACTATTGTTTTTCACAGGGTCATAACTTGCCCCTTCTTGATTTTCTTTACCAACAAGTTAACCACAAATTGTTATCATGAGCTGTCATGCAAGACTCTTCAGAAGTTTTCTTTCTATACAGATTCAATAGACAAGAGAGACTACCATTTCTCTCTCCTGTCAGAAGAGATAATGGTCTCTGTGCCTGCTATTCTGAGTCAACAAAGCCACATTAAACTAGACTGACTACCAGCTCCCTGGTTCTGCCTGGATAAGTCAATCAGGAGCTGAATCACCCTCTTCCTCTTCTGCATGTGTATATGTCTATATTAAGGATGCTGTAGTTGATGGATACATTATGGTTTTGTTCAGCAATTTTTTTCCAAAATGCTCTGAGTAGTGTGTGTTTGAATATTACTGAATACAATTAGGTCCTATTCTAGGCACTACAGTAAAGCAAATAGTATATAGCAGTGATTATTACAAAGAAACCAGAATGAATGAAGGCTTGGTTTATGTGGGAAACTGAGAAACCATGAGAAACTGTGGGAAGCTGTGGGAACGGTGAAAGTTAGGAGTGAGAAACTGTGAAAGGTAGGAATAACAGATTAGCAGATAGAGAAACCCAAAACACAGGCCGGGCGCACTGATCTCTGGTTGGTTACCTGTTGTACGTTAGCAGGATTGGACCCAGATAGCAATAGAGTCAAGGAATTGGCTGGAGGCAGGGGGAGGGAGCGCATGGACAGCATGTGAACAGTGTATGCTCACATACTCGGAGAATATATGTTTGGTCTGGTGCTCAATAAAAGGGCTTCTGGCTTCTGGTCCAAAACCTTAAGCCCCTGATCCTTTTGATGATTTCCACTGGTTTTAATTTGTTTCAGTTATTGCATCTCTTGAGGTCAGCCTGGCAGAACTTTTTCCCCTTACAACACTCTCAATTCAAGGTCACCCAAATGCCATGTTCACATCCTGAACAGTTGTCCATAAGTAAGCTGGAGTTCTCCACTAGGACTGTCATACCACAGGGCTATGCATCAGACTGCGAGCATTATTTCACCTTAAAAGTCTGGATGCTAGCAAATATTTCAGGATCTTTAAAAAAAAACAATTGGGGGAAAGCCAAGCAAGTACAAAGCAATGAGACTTTCAGCATTAAAAGAGAGAGAGAGAGAGAGAGAGAGAGAGAGAGAGAGAGAGAGAGAGAGAGAGAGAGAGAGAGAGAGAGAGAGAGAAAGAAAGAAAGAAAGAAAGAAAAAGAAAGAAAGAAAGAAAGAAAGAAAGAAAGAAAGAAAGAAAGAAAGAAAGAAAGAAAGAAAGGAGATGGAAAATGTTATCGTACAGATTTCTTTCTACAAAAAAGGAAGTTGTGGCTGTGTGACCTACTGGAGTTGTTGGAAAGTATGCGGCCTACCTTACATATCTAAATGTTCCTTGTCTGAGAAGTCAGGATGTTGAGACCGGTAAGCTGATTGTTTTAAACACATGGATTCTGTTGTGGTAGGAAAATGAGAGCTAAACCACAAAAGGAGTCAGCAAATATTGTAGCAAAGGAATTGTGAAATTCAGATTTCTAGGATGTGTTGCAATGTGCTGAAATCCCCAGAATAGTAGGCACCAGAGCTTGTAAGCATTTACAACTCAGCACCACCCTTTAAAAAGTGGCTATCAATATGTTGGTGCTGCCCTGGACCCTGATGTTATCTAGCATGGATGTCCTCTGAATTGCGCTTGCTTGCATCTCCTGTGCTAGCATCAGCATGTGAAAAGTTAGCACAGTGTTCAGTCATATAGAGATAAGTTCACCTGAAAAAAGTGTGTTGTTGTAGCTCAATGGAAAATCAATAGATTGCCAAATGCAAGTGCTCTGTTTACATTCAGTATTGCAGTATGAATGGCACAAGTCATGCTATGTCACACAAGTTAGCAGAAAAATGCCTTAATTAAAGTGGAACAGAGAAGGCAGGGGAAGGAAAAATACAGTCTTTTAATAATCATCTGAAATAACAGCACACTCTACTGTGCTAGACTTGCACCCCAGGGATAGATTTTTTTGGTTGTATGCGTTGAGAGTTCCGAATGCATGCAGACTTGTCAGGTGATTGATTTTTAAAAATAGTCAGCTTAGACCAATGTTTTCAAACATTTTACTCAGGAGTGCTCTGGGCCCAGCAATTCTCGTTGTTAACCAAAAATCACAGCAGAGATTTATGTTTACAGCTCTCAGTGTTACTTTCTGTGTCTTTACAGACATTGGTTGACTATGGAGCAAACGTCACTATGCAAAACCATGCGAGAGAGAAACCCTCACAAAGTGCTGAGCAACACGGGCACACCCTGTGTTCCTGCTACTTAGTGGTTGTAGAAACTTGCATGTCATTGGCCTCTCAGGTTGCGAAGCTAACAAAGCAAGTGGAGTAAGTTTAATTCTTAATAAAGGGATCATTGTGAAAACAATACTCCCCTTTGTCTTCAAGTTATCAGCATGGTACCTTCTCCCTATATGTGATATTTGACAGTTCATGCTTCTCAACTCTATGCCATTTTCAACCATTTGTCCCTTCACCTCTTTAGCAGTTCAGTTTTTCAGCTGTTCTCCTGTTGGCAATTTGCTGTGAATGTAGACGAAGCGAATTGGAGTGGAAAAGGGTATGTGTGAAATATTCTTCTTTATATGTATATATGTAAGCAATCCTCTCCCTTATCCCTTTAAATACCTTGAGATCACATCTTTGCTAATCATATTTTCTGCTCACATAGCATGCATTTATATATTATATACAGTGAGTGACTTCGTAGCAACAGTGTTGATGTTGGGAGGAAAGATGGAAATAGCAGCTGGAAGTTTTCTTTGAGTTTGGAAGGTTCCCAAAGCTCACGGTGGATACTCAGGAAATACTCTATGATGTATTTTTTCTTCATAGGAGGTGGCTTGTATATTTTTTTATCTGATCTTTAATAAATGATCTATAAAGAAGCTGGTGGGTTGAAACACCAAATATGCAATTGCTGTCTTTTGCTGTGGGTGTAGTTATTGTGACTGAGCATGTCAATTACCTCATAAGATGAAACTCTCAGAAGTCATCAGCATTGACCTAACTTTTGGTTGAAATTTATATTCCCTATAACAGGGGTCCTCAAACTTTTTAAACGGGGGGCCAGTTCACTGTCCCTCAGACACTGTCGGGGACCGGACTATAGTTTGGAAAAAAATGAACGAATTCCTATGCACACTGCACATATTTCATTTGTAGTAGTGCACAAAAAACAGGAAAAAGAATGCAATATTTAAAATGAAGAACAATTGTAATCAACAAAAACAAATAATATTTCAATGTGAACTATGGGCCTGCTTTTGGCTAATGAGATGGTCAATGTTAGGTTCCATATTTGTCACTGCTAGTCGTAGCAAGTGATGCAAGTGTTCATCAGTTAGTCTGGATCTGATTGGAGATTTCAGATGTTTCATTCGGGAAAAAGTCTGCTCACAGACATAGGTGCTGCCAAAGATGGTTGCAATTTTGAGTGCATGGTTCCTGAGATTATGATATGTCTCTGAGGGGAGAGATGCATAGAAATTAGTAAGGCTGCTTGATT